GAGCTGACTGCATGGATATTTTCGTGATTTTCGGCATGTGTAACGTGTAGGCAGTATCTTGTGGATGCATACGTCAATAACGCGGCCACAGCCCGGAAAAAATCGCTGAACACTGGTAGTTCGGTCCAAATTTCGAATCCCGTCGAACAAAAGCCGGCTTCACTGGTAGTTCGGTCGAACTTTCGAACTTAAGGCCAATAACAGCGGGCTTGCCTGCTAGTCTTAACATAATATTCAACACTTTACAGCATGTAATTGTAAATTGCTACTGAGAGTTTAAAAGATCCAAAGGACTGTCAAAAAGGTGCCTATGGTATACAAATGGTTTTTCTCAACTGCTTTTAATTTCTTTGAAAATAATACAAATACAGTGAAACCTCTCTAAGATAACTACATACAACTCCAGATGATTTTTATCTTCTGCGGGGATGATTTATTGATGATGTTCAGTACTGCTGTTCAGTTATATTCTTATGCTTTGAAACACTAGTCAATCTTGGAAGTTGTCTTAGGAGGTGGATGCCTGTAGAGGTTCAGTGAATATTTTCATTATCTTATTTAATTTCTAATTATGTATGAAATAAATTTACTGCATGCCAGATTGTTAATTAGATACAGACGTATATGTGCTTGTTGAACCAATCTGGAAAGCATTCGGTGACATTTAACTACATGATAAAGATCTAGATGCAAAAATTAGGTACCAAACACTGAACTTGCCATTCTTAAATCTCATAATTTAATATCTTTGCTCCTAGCACATCATATATGATATTCTTATGTTTTCCTTCACAAGGCCACTATAACAAATATGATACAGGAACAAGATGTTATTGGCAACCCACCATATTATCCTTAATACACCAAAATGGAGTGTTTTATTTGAAATTTTAAAAAGAAATAAATAAGGTTATGATTTTAAGAATCTTACTAGGATTGCGTTGAACAGTCAACATTATTATTATTATGAGTATCACTGTATACTTCTGAATACAAAGCAATACATTTTCCCTAAATTTCCTGCCAAAAAACATGGGGTCATTTTAAATTCACAGTGTATCTCTTTTCTTTACTAAATAGTACAACAAGCTTTAATGAATCTTAAGCTTATCTGTCATGCCTATCATTTTAGCCTTGAATGCCTGCATGCATTTTCAGTGTTGTTAAACAAAAATGCAAAATAATTGTTGTGGTCTTATAATACTTAGTAATTCTTGTGACAAACATTTTTCTTCTCAACATCTGTGAAAGGTTGTAGATTCCCCTTCTGAACTTCATGTAATATACTGTGCTAGAAAAAGATTGTTTAAACACATTATCATCTTGAGTTTATACATTACCTGTATGCAATGGATCATAGTTTTAAGCAACAAAGTTCAACATTGTACTTCAACAGAGGGTGAAAGTATTACTATACTGGAAATTTCAAAATCATGGTTATTCATGGTATGCAAAAGCAACAAACAATTGTGCGCCTTCAATGAAATACTGACACTTCATTGAAATTAACGTTCAGAGGCATCGAAAAGACAAAGAATGTCTTAAAATTACTGATTCAAATAGGAAAGCTTTCAGTGGCTTGCAGAAAGGATATTTTGAGAATGCTGAAATGGAAAAATGTAATAAGTGTGTGAGAAACATAAAGCAATGGCTGTTTCCTATAATGTCATATTAATTAAAATAGATGAAGTAACACAGTAGCACAGTGTCTAAAGCCAACCCTGGGTGGTGTACAAGAAAACTGCAACACAATGATTGTTCTGTGATATCGAAAATCTCTCACTCAGCAATTTCCAGCAGGGTATGAGAAACTGACTGATTATCAGTGACACATTATAAAACTAAAAAGGAATTTAATTACCTCTAGGGCAAATCAGAAATGCTGATGATACTCCTATTTACTTCAACATGCCATCCAATACAACAGTTAAAGGTTGCAACAAGGCTGGTGCCTGTGCATCTAACTATGTATATTACATATCACCAGGACAAACTAACTGCTAATCTTCTGCCTCGAATGGAATTCCTAACGAAAACACTTTGGGGGCCAGTCTGAGGATCTCCTATGTCTCTTCTCCTGCCACCAACATCTCGAAAGGATTTCGGCTCACTGTGTATTTTGAGTCCCCCCTTGCTGCACAGACACTATAGGCTCACAAACATCCATACCTTCTCCAGGATTTGAGCTTAGGCCCTTCAGTATGGAAGTCAACATTACTAACCACTATCCTGTTTGGGCAGCCATCCAGTACAACAGCTGAAGAGAAAGGTATCAAAAGTGTAAATGGTTAGCACTGTAGCCAACAAAAAATTGTGAATCATCATCACATTATGTGTTCTTGCCAACAGAACAAAGATGCGACCTTATGCTGCCACTAGTGTCATATTACCTTGTAAAAGAGCTGATGACCAATAACCTAGTTTTAGATTGGCTCCACACTCTGAAACTGGTGCCAGATGCTTTTCTAAGCAAATGTGGGATGCTACTCCTTAACACTTTCAAGCAGCATCTCACACCAACGGTAAGAAACAAATCCTCGAATTTAACATAGATCCTGGCATCATTCCAAAAATAGCAAGACTTTAAAACTACAAGTGTTAGATGTGGTGGTGAATAATGCCTTTTAAGACCATTTGAAGCAGCTGCACAGCAATTGATTACTTTAAGGTCCTTGATCCCTTTCAGGAAGATAAAGAAGCCTACAGTGTATCTAATTGCAGAATAGAATCAGACTGCTTGGACATGCATACTCAGTGCATCAGCGGTGAATAGCTATAAAATGCGTAGTATAACAAATGCAGCGGATAGGAGTAAAGACAATCCATTATGGGAAGAAAAGGAAAATCATAATGACAGTGTTACCTTAGATTCCAAGGCACGTTCTGTTAAAGAGGACTAAATGGGATCTCTATCTGACTAGGTAGTTTTAAATCTGTAAGTTTCGAAAACATATCTACTACAGTCAAAAGTCGTTAATTCGGACACCCATAATCCGGAATGATCTATAATCCGAACCTCAAAGCTACAAACTTTCTGCGAATGCGTCGATGCGACGTTTATGAGTGCGTGTAAGACCTTTACGGCTGTGAATATGCATGTGCGCAAGTGCATAATACGTTTACGCATGCGCGTTTAATGTATAATGGATGGTATAAGCTAAGCTAAAATGATCTAATTCAGTTAATATTGCAGATTGCATTGTTCCTTAATCTTCGAATTGGATCTGGCTTATTATTTTTTGCAGACTGTTAGAGCAATTTTATAAAAGTAAGCTTGAACTTTCGATTATATCAAATAGAATTTCCGATATATATTTGCTAATATATAAAGGATCTAAAGCAAAAGTATGTTTCGAAATCCGAAATCTGTTTATCAATTTCACACTGCTCGGCGGGGGAAATGCAGCGGCGTGCAATGAATTGGAAGTTAATCTGTCAGCACTATCCTTATCTTCAGGGCAGATGTTTTTATTTTATTTGGCTTATAATTCCTTACTAAATGTAGTATTTCATCTCGATCTACTATCTTTGATATGATTTAAATCAAGTTCCTTGTCATTATAACTCGCTTCCAATAGTGAAGAAAGTGACAGAATTTGTAACTAAACAAGAAATTATGTCTGTTTAATAGAATTAAAGAGAAAGTATTATCACATGAAATGAAGCAACTTAAATAACTTACATTGAAAGAAATGTTTAATAAAGTAAACAAACATATATTAAGCTTTTTCTTTTTGTAAATTTTGATACCCTTTAGATCATAATTGTTCTTTATTTCATAAATTACGGTTTCATATTTTTTTATTTTGTAATTTCTGCATGCCATCTTACCAGATTTAAAATGATGATCATAATCCGGAAAAATCGATAATCTGGAATTGCCCAAATAATAATCTGGAAGTCCCGACGAGTCTGGATTAACGACTTTTTACTTTATATGCTTCATATGTTTCTCTGATAACCCATTTTTAAAGATATGGGGTGTTTTGTATTCAGATGTATATGGCATTTACTATTTTAATCTATGAATGTAAAACATGTAATGTGGATCAACATATTATTCACGGTTTAAAACCGTTTCACACAGTGAAAGGTGCTTCAGTTTCTGGCAGTGTAATTTTGGCATCTAATATGCATTGATCTTTAGAATTTTTAAGCTTCATTAATATATAGAAATACTTTTAATGTATGAATTTAGTTATTATTGCACTATTGTGTTTTGTCTTATTTTAATTTTAATTGTATAAATCAAAACTTTATATATACCCATACACACAGCGATAGTAAGACAGTGTCTTAGTGAGAACAGAGGTAAAAGTGCTTAGTTACCCAATATACAAGCTCATTAAGAAAAAGTTTTGATTTAAGTTCTGAATTAGCTACCTCATCAGCATTATGCAACTCATATAATATGGATTGATCTAAAAATGATGTAGTCCAGAAAAAGGCATTACTATTTTTAGATTAGAGTGGAAAAATACTGAAATTAAAAATGGGGAAATAAGGGGCTACTGCTAATTTAAATTATGATTTTGACTTACATATTTTTTATCTTTCATATACATATAATTTAAATCTATATATAAAGAATACAAATATTTCTACAAAAAGATGATTTTATAGAATTTTTTTTATGTTAAACTTAGTTGCAAAAATCTATTGATCATACAGTGACATTCAGTGCTCCAAGATAATGAGCCCTGGAGGAGCTTTGTTTAAAGAAAACTTTAAATATTCAATAATTATCATATTGTTATGAAGTTTCCCAGCTCAGCTTATTTAAACATCATCAAATATACCTTACATAATACCCAGCTGAAAGCATGCTGCTAAATAATGAAGATTCATCTTCATTGAAAGTTACTGTCTCTGCATGCTGGGGAGTAAAGTTCAGTCAGTAATTCAATACTCTTCGCCAAATTAAAATCTTACATTTCTTAATCAAGTACATTTCATAATCATGCATTTATATTCTTTGAGTAAATATAAAAAATGCATACCTGTTCTTTTTGACAAAGGCCTTGAATATTTGTAGGAATGAACTTTGTTGACTTAACACAAGTATTAAATAATGCTAAAAATAGATAATCAAATAAATATTTAATACAGATATTATGAAAATTTTATGAGTGTATGTCTCACACATTATTGTTTCATTATATGAATGGAACTAAGCAAGAAAAAAGATAAATCTAATAACAGATGCATAAATAATCACTATTTTATTGACAGACAAGCTTTCATGAGTAAAACTAAAAGTGTGATTCAGAAGACAAACAACAAAAATCAGCGTTATTTTTACAAAATTTCCACAGGACTAGTTTCGATGGTTTTACCAAACCACCATCCTCAGCTGCAAAACTGCAAAAATCGAAACTAGTCCTGTGGAAGTTTTGTAAATATAACGCTGATTTTTGTTGTTTGTCTTCTGAATTAGTATTTATTCGGCGTGTTATTGTGTCTTAATTACTTTAAATATTCGCTTTAATACTGCTTTCCCTTCATATAAATGCTGAGTATTTCTTGTAGCCCATTTTAAATTTTCACATATTTATTCAAGGTTTAAGCCTCCCTCAATTCATAATAATATTACACTTGAATGTTCAAACTTGATCATTAATTGATCACTACGTTCAAGTCTATCACTTCAAATTTGTTGTAGTTGTTTTTATTATATGTTTATCTGATAATTTATATAAAATTGTTTTACATAGATTTTTTTAAACATAATTTAGGGAGAAAATCTATTTCTACAAGAATTCATTTTGATCTAACACAATTTCTGCTTTTTCATTGATCTCTATTTGAATTTAATTCTAGAAGTATTCCTACTCAAATAGAAATTTACAGAACTTACATTTATAATACAGATGCCACTTTTATGGTTATATATTTTTAAATAGTTTTAACTGAAAATGTAATTTACTGAATTCCTTATTTCACATTATTGCACAAAGAATATTTCAACGTTGAAATACGAATTTGACTGGCTAAATGTTTAAGCGATGACAATAATATAATTATAAACTTGTTTACTGTTAGAGAGTGATAATGAATATAATATACAGTCAAAAGTCGTTAATCCGGACTCATCGGGACTTCGGCGATTCTAGATTATCGATTTTTCCGTATTATAGATCATCAGTTTAAATCTGGTAAGATGGCATGCAGAAATTATAAAATTAAAAATATGAAACGGTAATTTATGAAATAAAGAACAATTATGATCTAAAGGGTATCAAAATTTACAAAGAAAAAAAAAAGCCTAATATTTATTTGTTTACTTTATTAAACATTTCTTTCAATGTAAGTTGTTTAAGTTGCTTCGTTTTATGTGATAATACTTTCTCTTTAATTCTATAAACAGACATAATTTCTTCTTCAGTTACAAAGTTCCGCTGTTTAAGTCCTATAATTGCTGTGTTGAGAGTACCGACTAATTTGTCAATCGAAATTTTTTCGTTTTCAATAACCTCTGTATCACATTCTTCACTATTGGAAGCGAATTATAATGACGAGGAATTTTATTTAAATTATATCAAAGACGGAGTACATTGAGATGAAATACTACATTTAGTAAGGAATTATAAGCCAAATAAAAGCATCTGCCCTGAAGATAAGAACACTGCTGACAGATCAACTTCCAATTCATTGCGCGCCGTGGCATCCCATCTCCCGCCGCCGCAGAGCAGCGTAAAATTGATAAACAGATTTCGGAATGGTTAGAGAAACAAAGCTTTCGCTTTGTAGATCCTTTACATATTAGTAAATATATATCGGAAATTCTATTTGACATAATCGAAAGTTCAAGCTTACTTTTATAAAATTGCTCTAACAGTCTGCAAAAAATAATAAGCCGGATCCAATATGAAAATTAAGGAACAACGCTATCTGCAACATTAACTGAATTAGATAATTTTAGCTTAGCTTATACCATCCATTATACATTAAACGCGCATGCGTCAACATATTATGCGCATGTGCACAAGCATATTCGCAGCTGTAAAGGTCTTACGCGCATGCGTCAACGAGACAACATGTGTCAACAATGTCAACTAGATGCATGTGCAGAAAGTTTGTGGCTTTGAGGTCCAGATTATAGATCATTCCGGATTATGGGTGTCCGAATTAACGACTTTTGACTGTAGTTATGTAAGTCATTTAATTTTTTCCCACATCAGTGGAGAATAGATTCATTATAGTGGTTTCACCGACTGTGGTAATTAGATATAGAAATAAATGCATTAGGTAGATCCGCATAAATCATATAAAGCTAAAACTCTGAATTTTCCTTGTCATTTACTGATGACATTATAATGAATTTAAAAAGGAGTTGTGATATTTTCAGTATTAGACATAAAAGTGGTTATCATCAAACAAAATTATACAAAATATGTATTCATTTAAGGTCGATTCTGTCAAATTTCTTTTGGTTTACGCTTAACTTTTAGCATATCAGAAGATCCTGTTTTGTATTAGCTGAGAAATACTTGGTGACAGAGCAGAATCTTGGCTAATAGCGCATGCACCACCAGGATTGGCGCTGAAATATATTCTGTGAGAAACTAGATTTTTGTGGTACATTCGAAGTTGCGATTCATATGTTACGCTGTAAGGTGAAACCTAGCGCCAGAGAGTCGCTATGGAAAATAAATGTAATAAAAATTAGAGCGTGTTATTTCTGTGTAATGTGTGTGGCGTTATTTTATTATGATATATAGCTATCGACAGGAAATAGAATAAGTCAATTCAAGTTTTTTGGCCCGTCGAGCCAGAGCAGCTAATGAAGTTTATGAGACTGTGAATTTACTTTCAGTTTTGTGAAACGAAGAACTAAATAGGATACTTCCAGATTGAAGTTCTGTAGAAACAAAAGTGTAAGTACCGTCCCCCTTTTTTGAAGCTCATTGTACCTTTTTGAAGCTGTTTATTTGTTTATTGACTTTTGCTAATTAAATTGTCACTAGAGAAGATATTAGCGAGAAAAACGTATATTGATAGAAAACACAGTTAATAAAGTTAAAACAAAAGGTTGCGGACGAAAATGTCCAAGGAAGTGACATTTTTGGAAGTACTAAAGAATAAATTTAAAGTGCTTGAGACAGAAGGTAAATTCTAATTTCGATTCTTTGTTTGGGTTATGTACGGAAGAAAGTATTTGATGCTTATGTAAAGAGAAAAAGAGAGATTGACGATATTCTCTTAGATGTAGAAGTTGAATTAAATTGTAAATTAGCTAAACTTTCCAAAGAAATTAAATCGGAGCCTTTGGTTTGCACGAATACCGAGAACAATGTTAAATTACCCAAAATTACTTTGCCAACGTTTTCGGGTAACTTACATGAGTGGCTTTCATTTAAAGATATCTTTTTAGCCAGTGTTGATTCAAATCTTAATTTAACAGATGCAGTCAAATTACAGTACTTAAAATCTGTGCTGCTTATCATATTGTGCAGTCAACATCCATAGTTGACTCTAATTATAAATTAGCCTTTTCATTACTAGAAGAAAGGTTCTCTAATCACTGCGAACAAGTGTAGGCTCATCTGAGACAATTTATGAATATGCATCCTATGCAAAATGAGTCTGCGTCAGCAATATTAAACGTAATTAACATTACAAATGAATGCGTGAAATCATTAGAAGCTTTTACATCAGAGTGTTAAAGGTTTTAGTATTTGCATATATTTTAGGGCAAAAATTAGATCCTAACACCAAAATATGGTGGGAAAGAAAATTAGAGAAAGAGAATTTGCCTAATTAACAGATCTTATAGAATTTCTTAAAGATCATATAAGAACTCTCAACGCTTCAAAGAGTGTGACTAACACAAAAAATGTCATACATAGAGTTACCGCTGTCGTTTCTACTGCAAATGAAAAACATATGCAGTTCGTGTAGGTTATGTAATTTGAGCAATCACAAGCTTTTTAATTGTCCTAAATTTCAGAAATTAAGTATAAAAGAAAGGGTAGAATTTGTGAAAAAACATAATTTATGTTTTTGTTGTTTTAATTTGCACAGTGTGAGAAATTGCCGTTCTAATTACTTGGTGAGAAGTGTAAGGAAAAATATAGCTTTCTCTTGTGTTATCAAAACGAAAATAATTCCGTTGGCACCACAGTAGAAAGAGCAGACACTTCAGATCAGGAGTTGGGTGATCAAAACAGCAATGCATTAAATGTAGTCATAAGTCGTTAATCCGGACTCATCGGGACTTCGGCGATTCCGGATTATCGATTTTTCCGGATTATAGATCATCAGTTTAAATCTGGTAAGATGGCATGCAGAAATTACAAAATTAAAAGTATGAAACCATAATTTATGAAATAAAGAACAATTATGATCTAAAGGGTATCAAAATTTACAAAAAGAATAAAGCTTAATATTTATTTGTTTACTTTATCAAACATTTCAATGTAAGTTGTTTAAGTTGCTTCGTTTCATGTGATAATACTTTCTCTTTAATTCTATTAAACAGAGATAATTTCTTGTTTAGTTACAAAGTTACGCTGTTCAAGTCCTATAATTACTGTGTCGAGAATACCGACTAATTTGTCAAACGAAATTTTTTCGTTTTCAATAACCTCTGTCACTTTCTTCACCATCGGAAGCGAATTATAATGACGAGGAACTTGTTTTAAATCATATCAAAGACGGAGTACATCGAGATGAAATACTACATTTAGTAAGGAATTATAAGCCAAATAAAATAAAAACATCTGCCCTGAAGATAAGGATAGTGCTGACAGATCAACTTCCAATTCATTGCACGCCGCTGCATTCCCCCCGCCGAGCAGCGTGAAATTGATAAACAGATTTCGGATTTCAAAACATACTTTTGCTTTAGATCCTTTACATATTAGCAAATATATATCGGAAATTCTATTTGATATAATCGAAAGTTCAAGCTTACTTTTATAAAATTGCTCTAACAGTCTGCAAAAAATAATAAGCCGGATCCAATTCGAAAATTAAGGAACAACGCAATCTGCAACATTAACAGAATTAGGTAATTTTACCATTTTACCTTAGCTTATACCATCCGTTATACATTAAAAGCGCGCATGCATA